GGGGGGGGGGGGGGGGGGGGGGGGGAACGGGCGAAGTACAAAAAAAAAATCGCGCAAGGGAAAATTAAATGAAAAAAAAATTCTTGCACGCCAATTAATCCTGCTAAGGCCTAAAAAAAATTCCTACAAGGAATTTGATGACGAAAAAAATTCCTGTAGCTCGAAAATTCCCCTCTCCCCCCCCCCCCCATAACTTTTCCAATGGCCCGCCCCTACCCCCCCATATACCAGGCGCCGGAAGGGGTTTAATTACTAAATAATGGCTCCGTTTCTTGACTGAGAATCCTTGTGAAACGTAATCGCAGTATTTTGTTATTCAATCAGCTGTGTTTTTGCGCAGGTGGAAACCCTTACGCCGTCAATTTTACTGTCTTGACAAAACAAGAAGTCTGCCATTTCCTTGTTACTTTCAACAAATTAAAATATAAATCATAAGCCACGTCTTTCCTAAACATTTTAATTAAAGACCCTTCCATGATAGATTTTCCTACTATTTTGTATACGTAACATCGTGAATTAAAAACTTTTTGATATGCACGCCTGAAAAAGTTAACACTTCAGGCACAGTCATCGCTTTTCTGGGGAGGGCATGCCCCTACCCTCCCCACCCCCCGGTGGTAGAACTTAATGGTGTTAAACTACGATGCAGCACTAAGGAACTACCATTTTAACTACTATTTTTACAGCGTTTACCATAAATTTTCAACCTCGTATCATGTTTTAAAGGTCTTTCCTCAAGCAATATAGTGAAAGTCATGATTCTGTATTTGCTCACGCAGGACACACAAAATTGCCATTTATGTGAATTGTGAATGGATCTGAGATCATAAAAAAAGCGAACTGATAAGCACCATTGTTGGAAACCCTTGGGTCTACGATTGGGTTTCCTCCGTTGTCAGTCTGTCTGACCCGTGTCTCACCAGGTTTGTGCGACCACTGCCCGTTGTTATCCAGTCGATACCAGTGATGATCTCCACCGCGTAAACCTGTAGCTAGAGAAGCAGAACAGCAATGCATTTTAGTATCAACAATCAGGGACTGGGTTTCAATTAGGACTCGCCCCATGTAAGTGAATCCAAGACAGTCTTGGATTCTGGATTCTAATTACTGGATTCCAGATCTTTGTCAGTGGAACTTGAATTCCGGATTTCAATTGTTAGTGGGATTCCGGATTCCCACAGATGTATTCCGGATTCCAAGGTCCAAGATTCCAGATTCCACAGGCAAAAGTTTTCCGATTCCAGAGTCCGAATTCCTTCTCTTGGGGCGATAGGATGGAGAGGAAGTATAATATACAGATTTTCCGGGGGGGTACTCCCTAAAATAAGCCATATACCGTAAATCCTCTATTAAGCCTCCCCTCTCGAATAAGGCCCCTCTCTCGAATAAGCCCCCCCCCCCTCTTTTCAGGGCAAGAAAGTTGATAAGTCCCCTCTCTTTTAAGCTCTCAACTGCATTCGAACGTTATTTAACAATCAAGACAAAACTTATCTTCGTCAGCACTGTTATAGCCAGCCTGCTTCACAGACTTAATTCTGCTGCACAACTTATTACAGGAAGTAGGAAGTATGGTTACCTTACGCCTATTTTACAACAACTCCACTGGCTTCCAGTCAGTCAAAGTATTATTTTTAAATTATTACTGATAACCTATATAGCACTCAATGGGTTAGCACCTGCCTATATTAAAGAATTGCTTAAGCCATACGTACCGACCAGGACCTTGCGATCCTCAAAAAGGAACCTACTAAGGTACCATCAGTTAGTGTAGTTACCTATGGCCAAAGGTCTTTCTCTTTTTTGCAGAACCTCATTGGTGGAACTCACTTCCACAGTATATTCGCAGAAGCGCCACATTATCAGAGTTTAAAACCAACATTAAGACTTACCTTTTTAAACTTACTTACGGGGACTAGGTTTAGCCAATGTAATATAATTATAGAATATCAAATCATATATCTTTCAGATGTTATCGTTTTAAGTCTTAGGGATTTAGTTTTTAATTGCAGCTTAGAATTTTTAAATAGGATTTTTATTGTAACTTATGTAATTCGTCTGGTGTTCCTTTTATCATCATTCGATGTAAGTTTTTAATTTATTATTTTTTGCTTTGTATGAATTCTGTAAAGCGCTATTGAGCATATGGAAATAGCGGTATATAAATAAAGTTTATTATTATTATTATTATTATTATTATNTTACTGATAACCTATATAGCACTCAATGGGTTAGCACCTGCCTATATTAAAGAATTGCTTAAGCCATACGTACCGACCAGGACCTTGCGATCCTCAAAAAGGAACCTACTAAGGTACCATCAGTTAGTGTAGTTACCTATGGCCAAAGGTCTTTCTCTTTTTTGCAGAACCTCATTGGTGGAACTCACTTCCACAGTATATTCGCAGAAGCGCCACATTATCAGAGTTTAAAACCAACATTAAGACTTACCTTTTTAAACTTACTTACGGGGACTAGGTTTAGCCAATGTAATATAATTATAGAATATCAAATCACATATCTTTCAGATGTTATCGTTTTAAGTTTTAGGGATTTAGTTTTTAATTGCAGCTTAGAATTTTTAAATAGGATTTTTATTGTAACTTATGTAATTCGTCTGGTGTTCCTTTTATCATCATTCGATGTAAGTTTTTAATTTATTATTTTTTGCTTTGTATGAATTCTGTAAAGCGCTATTGAGCATATGGAAATAGCGGTATATAAATAAAGTTTATTATTATTATTATTATTATTATTATTATTATTATATTATTATTATTATATTATTATTATTATTTCCGCTCGGTTAATAACCAGCGAAGCAGTGTCGAGATCCTTATAGCTTGCTTCTAGCCGTGTTTTATCTTTCGATTATAGGCCGTTTCAGATGTAAGACTCTCCGTGTATATCATTAGCCCCCCTAAAGTCCCTTACCTGAGATACATAAGCCCAGGGCTTAGAAGTAGAAGTTTACGGTACACTATTCAAATTTTCCGTAAAACCTGCCATACGGAAGAGGTTCTAAATTGTACGTTTCTGGGAAACTGCTCACCTACCCCTCCCCTAAGCCAACATTAACACTTACTTCTCACTTAGGGCAAAATGTTGGCTTAGGGGAGGGGTCGGTGGGCAGTTCCCCAGAAACGTATACTGATCCAGAACAAAAGGCCCCCTTTGGGGCGGAGCCTCCCCGTATCGGCCATTAGAGGGGCATGCTCACCACTCCGGGATCTAATCACGTGATTTTCACATACCTGGTCTAACAACTAGTGCTACCAAGTGGCGCCAAGGGTGATTTGGAGCTCCAGGCACTGGATCAGCTGGTGCTGGGTGCGGGTTGAGCTGAAGCAAGCCATCTCTTAGCGCGGCTGCTCTAAGATTTGCAGCGGTGTACGGATTGGCTATTGCCGCACCAACAGCATCGACGGTATACTGCTGTCCACCACCATTTCCAGGCTGGGCTCTGTTATCCGTTGCACGGCGATTCGCGTAGTTATAACAGTTATTGCACCTTTGTCTCCTGTAGGCAGGCTCCAATGCATTCCACACAGCCGGGTCGTAAGGAGGTGCATAACGCTTTCCTCGTACTTCGAAAATAGGAGCTTTTTCAAAATCGATCATTCCTGAGTTTATGTCGTCTTCAATTTCCTTTCGATCACCCTCTTTAAGTTGAACGCCCCTAAGCAACTCCAGTTGTAGTTTAGCACTTTTCGGTCCAACGAGAAGTCCCGCAATCTTGGTAATCTTATCCTCCACCAGTATTCCTCTGTAGCCAAGTCTAGCCGGCATCTGTGCAGGCAGGCCGAACCATCCATTGTCTCTGGCCTCAACCATTCGCGCTTTAAGTTCCTGGTTACCTTTGACAATAAACTGTGGATTATCCCGACCGGAAAAGAACGACACTACCACAGTGAACACTTCTGTAAAGAACAGAAAACAGTACAGTAAGGGCGGATTTCCTCTGTCACGTAATTTTTACATTCGATGCGAGCGTAAAATTTACGTTCGCGAGTGAAAGAGAGACATTGTTTATGGCCGCTTAATAGAAGGTTAATTCCCTATTCTTCGGCACAATTATTTCTTCTGGACTTTGATTACAGGACGCTTAATAGGCAGCCGCGTAATGCAGATCAACTGCAACTATAAATTGGTTGAAATCTGTATATTTGACTGCGATCCTTCTCACACTTTTAACAGAAGTGATGGCGGACGGTAGGGCTTGTGAGAGAGAATTATGGTTAAGGGCCTGTTTACATGGAGGTGGGGGACCCCAGGCAGGTGAAGTAACCCGCTTAAGTGGGGTAACCCGCCTGTCCATATAATTTCTCATTTTAAATTGATCACGTTTACATGATAGGTGGGGTGACCCGCCACATGTTACCTCAGCTATACCTGGGGTCCCCCAGCACCAAGTAAACGGGCCCTTAAGCCTCTCTTTGTTTCAGAATCTTGTTGCCTAGAAAGTCTCTGTGTATAACTACCCCTTCAGATTTTTATTTCCTGAGGGGGGAGGGCAGCTGTACACTAGACTAAGTATATTCATGCCTTTTCGCAAATGGTTATAGTTTAGTTGCAGATTCAAACCCAGTCGCTATTTAAGTGTTTTTGGGCCTTCGTGCGCCTGGGTACTATGTTATGACTAGGGCCCGGTTTGGACGCCGAACTTTTTATGAGCCGAGCCTAATTCGAATTAAGACCGACCTAAATAGCTTAGACATGCTGAGCTGATTCAGACGCCGATCTTGATCCCAGCTGAACTTAATTCAAAAGGAGAAAACCATTCATTTCGGTCAAACTTTTTACTCAATACTATATGATAACTTATGCATTTGGTTCGGCACATGAAAAGGTCGGCGTCTGAATCCAAACCGTTCAAAAGTCGATCCAAAGTCGAAATTCTCGGCGGGCTAGGCGGGAAGAGAACGGCTGAGGCGCGTTCCAAATTGAAACAGGCGTTCCTAATAAATTCAGACGCCGAACTTTTCATGTACTTAATTCAATGTATTAGGTTCGGCTCATGAAAAGTTCGGCCTAAGGATTTCGAAGAACTTTATTACGGAAACCAACAAACCAAAGTTGGGCTCTTGCTGTTCAGCAGTGGAGACAATTTGCAGTAAAGCAACGCTGAAGAACGTTAGATAGGCCAGCATCTCTGTAGAAGTCTGCAACACCAACCATACATAAATAATCAGTGTGTAATCAACTTCCGAGGGGAATCATTGTCTACATTCAGTATTCGGATAACGTAGTTAGCCAGTGCGGGAGCTGCCGAAACAATGCCCTCCCATGGTCCCCGCGGCAAAAGCTCTAGCTTGCTGCAATTCTCTCCATGCATGTAAAACGTGGTCGCCCCGTCAAATAGGAACATATTGACTCGGGTAGTTAGAGGGGCTTTAAATGCAACTAAACGACAGAAATAAAACTGGAACTTAAATTGCTTTGCGAATTTTAACAAACAGAAAATTACTGTTAAAAAGTATTTAAAACACCAAAATTGACCCTTTCACATTTTATAAGCCTAGAACGACAATAATTTTTGGAATTTTTGGTTAGATCGGGTGAGTTGTGGAAATGCTCCAGTTGAAAATAATGCAAATCGTTTCTTGCTCAGTTCAAAAGGCTATCTCTATCCCATTCTACGGGTTGGGGTATATAGCTTTACACTCAAGCGGGCAAAAAGTGCATTCTCAAAATAATAAACCATGCCATTGCACCATGCAGGCAGCAGCCCAATGAATCCCCACTATATGGGAGTCTTTAATATTATTATAATTGTTATAAAAATAATAATAGTAACACAGTCGTCCAGATATTACTGTAGTACATAAAGACAAACCAGAGTGGACATTGCTGTGCCAGCGGACCAAATATCCTTAGTAAGGAGGAGGAAAAGGCGGAAAAGTATCGAGACCTAGCTCTCGAAAGTAAAAGAATCCTCCTGTAGTAGTAATAATAATAATAATAATAATAATAATAATAAT